GGTCCTGGGGGGGCTATGGGGGCAGAGCGGGGGGGGTCAAACCCGGGGGGCTCGGAGGGAAATTGGGGTGAAAAACCCCCCGGGGACGGACCCGCCCCTTCCCGGCGCCCCCAAAACCGCGGAAACGCTCAGGGACCACCCGGGACCCTCCCCACAAATCCCCCCCCCGGTGCCGGAGCCCACCCGGGACCCCCAGAGCCTCCCTCAGAGCCGTTCCCGACCCCTCCGGGACCCCCCGGTGCCGCCCCCTCCCCTCACCGCGGCCGCCGCCGGCGCGGGCAGCGCGGGGCACGACGGGAGTGGGCGGGGCCTGCGCGCGCCGCCGGCCGCGATTGGCTGAGCGCGGAGGGTGTGGCTTTTTGTGGGCGTGGTCTCAGTGGGCGTGGTTGCGAGTGGGCGTGGTTTGGGTGGTGGGTGTGGTCTGAGTTCCTGGCGAATCGCTGCGAATTCATCAAAAACCCCCCGATTTCAGCCCCAAACCCCCCGATTTCACCCCAAAATATCAATGATTGCACCCCAAATTGACTCGATTTCACTCCAAAATCCTCCCGATTGCACCCCAAAATCCCCTGATTTTGCCCCCAAAATCTCCCCGATTTCACACCAACATATCAGTGATTTCGCCTCCAAAATCCTCCCGATTGCACCCCAAAATATCAATGATTGCACCCCAAATTCACTCCAATTTCATCCCAAAATCCTCCCGATTTCACCCCAAAATATCAATGATTGCACCCCAAAATTCTCCCGGTTTCACCCTAAAATCCCCCTGATTTTACCCCAAATTCACTCCAATTTCATCCCAAAATCCTCCCGATTTCACCCTAAAATCCCCCTGATTTTACCCCAAATTCACTCCAATTTCATCCCAAAATCCTCCCGATTTCACCCTAAAATCCCCCTGATTTTACCCCCAAATTCCCCCGATTTTACCCCCAAAATCCCCCAATTTCCCCTCCAAAACCCTCCCGATTCCACCCTCAAAATCCCCCTCATTTCACCCCCAAATTCTCCCCAATTTCACCCCAAAAATCCCCCCGATTTCACCCAAAATCCCCCCGATTTCACCCCATATTTCCCCCATTTTCCCCCAA